GGGAGCGAGGGCAGCGCCCTCCTGCTCTCTCCTCGCTCCTGAGCAAAACACCTTTTTCCACCCCTTTGTCCCAACTTAAATAGGGCAATTCGCAGAGGCGCCACTTTGGCTCAACCGCCCGAGGGGGATGGGACTCAGATCTGGTGGCACAGGGAGCAAATCCCCTCTCCTGCCACCAGAACACCCCCACACATCAAACTATCACAAATGTATTGCTTTATTTTGTACTATCATGTTAAAGTCAGAAGTTTAAATCATATTACGTTGTAGCGAAAGCAGCACTTTCGACATGTGTTTCAGATTGTGCTATTTTAGCGCTGGTTGGGATGAAAAGTCGCAAAATGTCTTACAAATGCCGGTTCTGATTCTCATCCGTCTCTGGCTGTTGAGTTTTCTTTCATCTGACTCAGCCCATCTCAGGGACCCCACTCCGTTATCAATGATTGCTGAGAAAGGTCACCAGAATTTTTGGGGCGTTTTGAAGATCACAGAAACTAGTACATAGGTGCAGTAAAAACTTAAGATCGACCGCACTGAGTCAGATCAAAGCCCATTTAGCACAAAATGCTGTTTTCAACAGTGGCTAAGAGTGGATGTTTGTAAGAACAGGGTAAGAAAATCTGATACTTCTGCTCAATGCTCTCCAAACCTCTAGCACTTTGCAGCTCAGGGAATTCCTAGCCTCAATTGATCTTTCCGTAATTAATAACCATTATCTGATTTATTTTTTTTTAATTCAAGAACTTGTTCATGAAACTTCATCTTCACCAATTTTGGCATCCTCAAAACCACATGGCAAGGTGTTTCTCAGCTTAACCATGTGTTGTATGATGACCCATCTCCTTTTCTGTGGTTTTCAACTGTAATGTTTATTTGATGTTTGCTGGTTGATGAGGCGGTGAAGGATCAGTTCCTAGGGTACATAATCAGTACCCTAAGGTTTTTTTCCCTTTCTTTTTTTTTCTCTGTTTTCAGTTATCCATGACAGGTGTAGAATAAAGTAACATATCTGTTAAAAAAAAAAAAAAAAACCAACAACAAAAGGAAAGCATTGCATGAAAATTGCTTTGTACAGGATGCTTTACACATTAGAGCTTGGGTTCTGCATTGACACAGAAAAGCATCAGTTCTTATCCATATCTGCTAGCCAAATCCACCAGCTCCAGTCACCAAATGAGAGATTCCTAATCAGGCAGCAGCAATGCTTCTGCTGGTTAGTAGGGAGCTGAACTGACGTGTGCCGAAGCCGATGGTTAGATTGCTTTTGAATTCAGTCAATCTGCAGTCAGGTCTGCAGTGATAATTTCTGTTTCTTGCAGAAAAATATATGTAAAATATCCCTGCTGTATTGAAACTGAATGATTTTGCAGGCAAGTGTGCTATGCAGTTTCATATGTGGCACTTGTGCGCAAGAAGTGACGTGTCATCTGTGAGTCGCAGATCTTTTTCAAAGTACAGCTGTATTACTGAAGCTGGCACCACATGACTCTTTTCACATTGCATGGGCCAAAATCTAGCAAAAGAAGAATTTATTACAAATACAAGGAAAATTGCCAAGATCTTTTTGGACTTTAGGATATTTGGTAGTGTTTTGAAATCCCTTGTAAAGTCACTTCATCAAAATGCACGTAGCATTAGAGTACATCAGTAAGGACAGGGCTCAGCCTCAGCAGATGAGAACTTATTTTTCATCTTTCATTTCTGTGAATCTGTTGAAAAGTAATTATTCCCTCTGTACTTTCTGTATAGGGTTGTGGAAACACCTTCTAGCAGCATGATGAAAACCAGCTGTGGGCCATCAAAATAATATTTTCAGTAAAGCATCTATGGTAACTGGGCTGGGCAGACACCAGCCTATTTTTCATCAGACTGACTGCCCAAAATAATATAGGTGGTTTATTAGATCTTTCTCTTTGGAGCTGTTATACCAAGTTTCAGCCAGCATGCACCTGCAAGGTATCTTCTTTAGAAAGGCCTTGATCCACAGGAAAGTTCTGCTCTTTTTCTGAACTCGAAATAAATGGTTTAAAAAAAAAAAAAAAGGTGAAAAATCTGAATTGATAAAATAAAAAAAAACTTCCTCAAGAAAGATGTAGTGAAAACTTCCAGCAGTGTTTAAATTTGGTAAAAATAGGGTCAGGTAAACAGTTTGGCAGAGAAGATGATCCCACTTCTATCAGTAATTCTGCAGTGACATGGGCACTCTGCCCTGGGGAAAATGCCTTTATGTCAGGAAAGGTTTCAGACCATAGATCTCAGGAAAAGGGCATTTCAAGGTAGGTCTCTCTGAAAAGCCCCTCTTTACTAGTTACGAAGTTTGAAGATCATGGCTGCTACTTTCACTGAGATTTGGAGGAGGAGGATTTCTCTTCCAAGGCCAAGGCCGATATTAGTTCAGAAGGGACCTAAATACAGGCCTTATGGCAGTCACATTTCTTTGTAGGTGTTTCCAGAAGAGACAGTGATATAGCCATGAAATGAAATGGCTATATGGCATGTTTGCTTTCTGGACTTTCCAAAGGAGCAGTATCTCCTTCTCTTCCCTTTAGTTTACCTGCAGTGAGCTCATCAGAAAGACAGTGTTGGGCACACCCACACTGGAGAACTATCCATGTGGACTACTTCTGCAGAAGCCACCTGGGTTTCTGTAGTATTAGAGCTAAATCTGCACAGCACTGGTCCTATGATTTGGACTTAACCAGCTTAGGGATTCAGTCCTAGAGTATGTATTGAGGAAGCCGATACTGCTGTCCAGTGATAGTCTTATAGGACTTTCCCCTACTTCTTCCCCTAGGAATCAGAGATCACAGCAGAGAAGACTCGTTCCAGCAGAGAGATCCAAGCCTATGTTTTTCCATTAAAAATGTATCTTTTATTTTTGTTTGTAAATTCCATGTATGCATTTTGTTCTCAGAAATTTGAAGAAAGTCAAGGAAGAGCCAACAGCAAAACAGCCTTTTATCAGGCTCTGCAAAATTCTCTAGGAGGAGAAGACTCCAACTTGTTCATTGAAAGTGCGGCTACATGGTATTACTCCCTTGAACACTCAAACGATGATTATTCATCCTTTTCCAGGGCTTTGGAAAATGCCACCCGGTAAGAAACTCATCCTGTTACAACCATGTGATTGGGGTTAAGCAAGGTTTGTTTTCCTTATCTCAAGTATGTATTTATATTCTGAAAAACTTGAGACATTCTTGTGCAAATGAGCAGAAAATGGGAATATGTTTTCATTTTCCCTGAGATTTTCAACATCATTGGCAAACAGAAATTGTACTGACTTTTATGCCTTGTGAAGTTTGAATTGTCTTTCTTGAATTTTGTATTGGACTAAAACTACTAAAGCTTCTTTGTGTGCTCTTTCATGTCAAAGATGTCTTGGTCGTTTTCACACTCTGCATCAAAAATTTCTTGAGTTGTCTCATCCCTGTCATAGTAGAAGAAGTAATAGACTGACTGTTTTTCAGTCACCTAATTATACAGTTAGATACTTTTCCTAGGTTTTAGAAATTTGGAGAGTGATCAAGTTTGAAAACTTTGATTTCAGCAATTATACTAATCTTTATATTATGAAATCTGCAAAATATATTTCTTTACAATGTCAGGCCTTTTACAGGTGAGTATCCTGTGTAAAACTGAAGCATTTATGAACATCCAGAAAAGTGACTCTCAAGCCCACTCTGTGCATTGCTAATCTCCATTTTACCTATGGGAGAAGAATTCCTTTAAGCTTATTCATGTATTTCCTTGACCTTTGTGTAATCATTAATGCCAGTATACAGTGATTGTATAATGTCACCCAATCGGCATTTTGCTCCCTTTTTTATCATGGTGAGAGAAAGCAGAATAAGGCAGTAGGATGCTTCTGTAGGAAGTCTTCTTGTGGAGGTGAAAGAAAAACACACGATACCTGTCTCTTGCCTTGTATGATCCATCAGGACACATTGTAGACTCACTGTGCCTCCCAGCCTCTTCCAAAGGAAATACTTGTGATGAAATGTCAACAGACACATGAGCAACTTACCTTCAGTGTATACACTCCCATACTTTGCATTAAAACATGGCAGGCAGGGACTATTGGGAAGTGGAAGATGAGCAGTGGGCCATGTTCACACCACCTAGTATACATGCATAGCTTTGACCCTTAGCTGGATATGGCATCAGGGTCCAGCAGTTCTGGGTACCAGTCAGTTTGAAGAGGTCATTGCTCTTTCAACTAGGACTCACCAGCCGTCATGACACCTATGGTAGGCTGTAGAGACTAGTGCATATCTTTAGTTTGGGTCACATGATGGTGGTTTGGTCTGCAGAGAGGACTGTAGATTTTGCTGTCTCTCCCATGGGGAGCCGGTTCACTTTAGCCAGTTACAGATCTTGAGATGAGGGGTGCTGGGGAGGGTGAGCTCATTTCTCTGAAAGGAGGCAAACGGAGGGGAAACCTCCTTACCTCCTTTTTCCTGCTTCTGCGCAAACTTGGGGCTGAATGTTTAAGTGGAACAGATTTTCAGAAAATGAATCAAAAAAACTCTCCCTATTTCTGTCTCTGCTTCATGAGCAGACTCATTATGAAAATTCTTTACTAAGGTGATATGTTTTATAAGCTGGAGTTTGAGTCCTGGTGTGCCCATCCAAGCTGTTTCACCTCTGTTTTGAACCCAGACATAGCTACAAGCTCTTAGTATCTGTGCTCTCAACATTACAGCTTTCTGTCCCACCATGAGCCTCTCCATGAGACCTTAGAGACAAGGTTTTCCTTTCAGTAGGTCTTTGTCCTCCATCAGAAGTGCAGAGTCTTGCTCCAGGGGAGCCTCAGTGAGTGGGAGACGAACAGGAGCCAAAATTCACTTGGAAACATCTGATCCAAGACAGCAGTGACCAAATCTGTTTGGGGAAGGTTTCTGGGTGGTCCAGGTGTGCCAATGCATTGAGGTCATGCAGTAAACAAGCCAGAAGGCTGTGGGTTGAGCTTCGTGCCATTTATTGAGTCTCGCACCATGCCGCGTTTGCCCTGCCTCGTTGCCTGTCCCATGGACAGGCCACCCATCATCGCGGTGTCTGGAGCCACTGCATGCAGCACACATGGAAGCACTGTGGTTCATGGGTGTTAAAGCCAGAACTCTTCTTCAATCTCTTTCCATCATCACCATTACCCCTGGGGCTATAATTCTTTAGTCAGATCAGTAAGGTTTTAAGCCATAATAAAACACTGAAAGACTTAAAATTTAACCAGCTCTCCCATCCAGAGATACCTCCATAAGGAGCTGTTATAACACAGGGCTGTCACATTTAATCACCCACATTCAGCCCAGGGCTCAGCATGATGTAAGCACTGACTTTTGCAAAGCTACAACCGGTAGCACACCGCTTGCTTGCAGCAGAAATACCATACACAAATAGCTCCTCCCGCTCTCAGCCTGCGAGCATCCCGCAGCAGCCCCGTGGGCACTGGGGTTACCTGCTTGTTTATGATAACAAGGCAAATGACTGGGCTAAGGAAAGAAGTGAATGGTTTGAAGAGTCACCACGAGCAAGCAGAAGGATGAGTAGTGAAAGCAGGACATCCGATGATAATCCTTTGCTTTAAACACTCTGGAAATTACTCTGGCTACAGCAGGAAGGGACGGGAGACAGCAGTTACAGAATGACAGTCACATACATGGAGGAGAAAAGAGGGGATTGGTTATGGTTTTTTGGTGGTTGGTTGATTGTTTTTTTGTGTGTGTGTTTGTTTTTTTAACAAAAGACTTGCTACCACCATGGATGTGTAGCCCAAGAAAAGTTCTGTGTCAGGAAGTTATAATTAGTTGCTAAAATTTTAATAGGATTATGAAGTGTGAAAAAGCAACAGAACTGGTTGTTATAAACTACATACATTGTACATATTTTGTGGTTTTAAAATATTTCCACTTTTAAAATTTTCAGCTGCAATTCTATGATATTTTTCCTAGATATAAAATGAGTTTCGTTTTCTTTTTCTTTTCTTTTTTTTCTTCTGTCTTTTTTTTTTTTTTTTTAACTCTGGTATTCCATACCTGTAAGAAACAGTCATTTCATTTTTGTGGTTACTATTTTTTTTTTTCCTGCTTCCCCAGAATAGCTGACTTTTTTTCCCTCATAGCACCAACTAAGAATCAGTTTTAAGTGGTGAAACGTATCTCAAAGCATTTCTCAAGAGCTAATGCTCTCCACAGACTCCCTAGTTTTCAAAGGCCATCCACTCCTGTAAAACCCCATGCTGGCAGGCATGTGAAGAACAGTAATTTTTGTTTCATATGGGTGTTGTCAACCATAACTGTCAAAGAGCATTGTGGTCAGTCAGCCCATAGCTTGTGGTCCCACAGATGGGCTTAAAATAAACTCTGCTGAACCAAGATACCTACCCAAACAGTGCCTTTCATAACCATACCAGTTAAATATAGCAACATGTTTTTATGCTTTTCTGACACTGTTCTTTCTTGCCATCAGTCATTCTTTTTTTACCGACCAGGTCTGAAGGAGCAGCTACTGTTTCGGATTCACCAGGCTGAGAACTGAAACCTCTCACTTCCGCAGCAGATACATTTGTGTGTGCTCATGTAGTTATGTACATATAGATACTCAAAGAGCGTGCTGAGTCTTCAGGCACATGTCGAATGAAAAGTGGTGATATGTGTGCATATAATATTGCCTTGAGGAATCATGAAGAGATATCTCGCAGTAAAGTGTCCTGTTTTCTGCTCCTGTTTTCTGTACCACAGTAATGTGTTCTGTTTTTTTTTCCCTGTTTTCTTCTTGAACTGCTTCTTGAACTGCTTGTGCTCGTTTCACCTACTGCTCACGCCACCTTCAAGCCCCGCTTCTAGGGGCAATGGAAGCTGGGAAAGTTTGGATATATTTACTTCACTCATACCTTTGTATTGCAATACCTGGTGATAAATCGATCATTTAACTATTGCATTGCACTCTTCCCGTTTAACCTTTCTCTCCCAGACATACTGCACCAGATATTCCATATTGATAAGCCCTGCCAGAGGCTCTGCAGGACATTTCCAAAAGTGGTCTTTTACCTCTTCCAGCTCTAGAAACTCTACCTCAAAAAATCACACAGATCTAAAAGCAGAAACAATATTATTGATCCTTAATCCAGGAAATATGTAAGTCCTTTTACTAGATGCCATTGCAATCTAGTGATGCTTTAAAGAATACTATAAAGAAGGAGCTTTATATTATTGCAAGCATGGGCCCCCATAAACCAGACTACAACGGGACTTGTAGATGGATGCTCCTTATGTGTCAGATCTTGTTAATTTAGTATTCTTACCATTGCTCAACGCTCCATAAAACAGCAATTTTAGTGAATTCTAAGATGTACTGGGCTCATAGAGGGTGAATGTGGTTTCCCTCACTGCACTTGAAGGCAGACATATGAGCTGTTTTGGAAGATTTAAAGAAGACCATCAATACAGAGAGAGATCTGTTGGTTGTGGGGGATTTTCTTTCCTTTTTTCTGTTATGTGACTGTGTCTATTCCCTGCTCCTCCTTTTTTATTAGTGACCAGTTTATCACATGTCCCATCATAAACATGGCCAGTTACTGGGCTGCTGCCTCCAGAGGAAATGTCTTCATGTACCATGTACCTGAAAGCTCCTCACAAAGCAGGTAAGGAGATGTATTTTATTATATTTCTTCAATTTAGAGTTTGAAACCCAAGGCTGTCTGTTTGGGCACCCTGTGGAGTAAATAGATAGATGTAGGTACATCAAATAAACAGTTTGGATTTGCAAAGGAGGAATTGGGCTCTAATAGATTATTTCTTTCTATTGACTGTATAGGAATGCTGTTTCTGAACCAAGGCACTTCATGTTAGATGTCTAAATTAAGTTTCCCTTTTCCAGCTTACTTAGCTTTACCAGTTCCAGAGAGCCTTTTAGATTTCTACTCTATATCTGATAAATCTTCCACAAAGAACGAGGATGTGGTCTGAATCACCGGGAGTCCACAGCTCTGAAAGAAAATGGGGCAACATTTTCTAAGGACTCAACATTAATTTAACACTGCCCCCTTTTGAAGTCAAGGCAGTTGTACCACAGTTACGCTGACTGGCTTCCAGTGTGGACGGTCTGGGGTTTATTCCTTCCTGCTCCAGCAGTGTGACTTCTGATCAGCTGGCAGACTGTCTCATGGGAGGAAAAATATTCTTGAACACAAGTATTTGCAGACTTAAGCTCTATGTCATC